TACGCAAGCATTTTACCGTCAATTTATTATATGCGATATTATGATGTCGAAACATCGGAGGGAAAGAGGTACAAAAGTAGAGATTATTTATTATTTAAGCGTGAAATTTATTGGAGAACTGATTTTACTTACGGACATGTAAATTGTATTAAGTTCGATCATTTCTTAAAGAGTACGTGCGCGACATGATCATTGCACGTAAAAATGCTTAAAATCTCTACGAATTTAAAGGTATTATTTATTGTTAAAAAAAACCTATGGAAATTGCGCATTTTTACAAATAAAAATCGATTTGTGAATACAACTTTTGAAATGTATTTATTGCTTTATTCTATCAAGTTAGTTAAATTACAAATTATAAAAACAAATAATTGACTTGTGAATACCTATCTGAATTGCAAATGATTGATTTGTGAATATCTAAATTGCTGAAATATATCTGAAACGTATATATACTAGGATAAATTTCTATCTGTGTTGTAATTAAGAGATAGATGGATGTTACGCGAAATGACACGAGGAACTTTACACGCATTTAGACAAATAATGACCAAATGTATTGCCCTCTGGAAATCGATGAAACCACGACTGTTTTGCGGAAATACAGGGATTATTTATTGCCTGTGAGATAGCCCCGTCTGAAAAGCAATGGTAGTTTTTTAGTCTTATCGACATCGGCCGTATTAAAGCTAGGAGAACAAAGAAGAATGACGGAGTGTTTATAAATTTATCGGCAGTGACAGCGAGGAAATAGTTCGACGCGCAATTTATAAGAATGCTAAAGTATGCACCTTATTTATCATCAAAGTGTGCGACAAAGCCGCCACGTGCGCTTAATGATTTTGATATTATTAAAATCAATAACGTCGATGAATCGAGAAATTATCACAAAATACAACATAAGTGTAAAAGAGAGTAAAAATTATGTATCATTTTTCATTACTTTAAATTTCAGTACTTTACGATAATAATTTATTTAATTGTTTAAATAACAATATTCAAATAAATAAAAAATATATGTGTGTATATGTATAATATGTATGATGATTAATTTTAGTTTCGATTTGGTTGATTTTGCTTCAACAAAAATATCTTTTTTAAATTACAGTAATAGTACTAACAATGAATTTTACTCATTCGTTAAAAATTTTACACATGTTTGGAGATGTGTGTATATGTGCGATACTTGTTCTCATTTTGGCGCATTCTGTTGCCGTGATAAGTGCGTTATCTATCTGTTAGCGAACATTCGTTGAGTTTTACGATACGGTGCATTAGCGACAAACGGAAAATCACGATTTGTCATTTTTCAGTTTGCTTTATGATCCAGCATTACCAATCGTCATATAATTCACCAATGTCACGCGTCGATAAATCGTTATCATAAATTGATATGATTCTTTCTTGCTTGCAAATCATAAGATATATCGCAATGAAAGTATCGGACAGTCCATGTTAAATGTGTAGATGTCTTTTCATATGTCAGAAGATATAATTTCTTATATGAAACATCCTGTCGTGAAAGGATAATAATACATATAATTTTTCTGCTATCATATCACTAAGTGACTGTTAAAATGAGAATGTCAAAAGTTAATAAATTATGCATCACGTTTAAATATATTTGATAAGATTTTTCTAAACCAAGGGATTGTGATTTCATGCATCGTTATCGAACAAGGCATAAAATAAAATAAAATAATTTCAAAAATTAAATATTAAATTGAAATTAATAAATTAAATGCATTAGATTGCAAACTAACGGAGTTTCTTTTTAAATCAGGTAGATTTACGCACAATAAAATATCCAATTCCGTTGATTTTCATTAATTCTATACATCAAGGAGTGATTTCGAGCGACAGAATGAACTAGCGTGTCTCTACTCTCTGATCGTGAATAGTTCTTTGTGCAAGGGTCTCGAGAGGTTGAAAACTGTCACGGACGTGGCAAGTGTCGAGGCCGGGTCGTAAGTAAAATGAATTTAACATTTGGCGTTTATATGCGGCCTGCAAACTATGCGTCGTGGGAACGAGCTCGACAAACTCGACGTTGTGAGTTAGGCGCGACGCCTGGCCGTATGCGCCTAATATCTGCTGTACAAACGCGGCTTTTACTACACACATTGCGATGACTCGAGGATGCTAGTGCCAACATTTATCGCTTACGTAATGGAGAGAAGCGGAATTACTGAGAGATTGCGCCGGCCTGCATCCCGTCAAACTTTATCGGCGTTTTATATCAATGCGAATTTGATAGTTGAACGTGCAAAAATTACGACAGCTTGTACGAACCTAAAATTTGGAATTATTCACACGTTGGCAGACCGCCAGGTTCAAATTTGAGATTAAGTAGATATTAGAGAACTTATGCAGCCCCGGAATTAAATGATGATTTTGCATAGAAGTTTGATAATTGATAATTTGATAATTGATGAGAGAACTTACGGGCGATTAAATCACGACAAAGAAACAAAGATGAATATCTTTCTCTCTTCGATGAGATCCTCTATGTAATTTTCTTCAGCGCGGAAATGTCCGAGTGTAAATGTCGCGAAGAACGTTATAGGAAAGACCGTTGAGGATATAATTATCTTGTAACACGAGATTGGGAAAAGTACATTGCGTATTGTATGTGTAGCGAATTGCTTACTTTAGAAGCAGGCAATGGTAATTTATCTAGAGCCGCGGATATAATTATCGTTGACAACGCACGTTGAAATATCTGTGATACAATCTACGAGAATGTTGAGATCGTTCCATTAACTATAGTCATCATGGGTTATCCGCAATTCACATATAATCGAATATAGCTAGTTTAACAAAATTTCATCCTCGAAAGCCGCGTTACAAAATTACATCTAAAAGTAAGCTTGCGTTTATATATAAAATAAAGCGATGTGCGAGGTAAACTAATCTCTTAGTTATCTCTTGTATCATACATAATTAAATGAATTAATTTTATTTTCTCAACCTTTTTATCAAAATGTGATATTAAAACATTACATTTAATTTCGATCATTTCTCTAGGAAATGTTAAATGTAATTGACAGTGGGAAGTGGTAAATGTGGTTCATGGACTGTTAAGAAATTTATGCGACAAAGTAATTACGATCGAGCAGAGGTAACCACGTGCTTTCTGACATTATAGAATTGATGCCGTCGGTTCGACGCATGGAAATAGCGTTTCCATAATAGTGCGAGGAAATCGCTCCATTAACGATGATCACCTCAAGTAACCCGCAATTTGGAAATAATTGAACAGGGCACGATCGAATCCAACGATTTAAGCCATGCGCCATCAGCATATTTCCGCACGTTAATCGACATTTCACATGCTGCATAATTTATGCACCGTGTGCATAAAATAGGGTATAAGTCTCGATCTATTTTGCGCAACAAAATATATATGTAAAATTCGTTATACTTTTGTCGAAGGATATTAAATAATAATTGGTGATGTCGACTGATGTTTATAAAGTGACGTTTTTCTTCTACCTCGACGGACATATTACGAAAAATGTTTCGAAAGAAGAGCCAACTAAAATTTTCAATGTAAATGAAAAGTAGCGAAAAACGTTGGAAACACGGCAGGATATAATTCTTGCGACGAATGTTCTCTTTTGGAGTGCTGGGATCCCTGACACTTTCCTATTTTATTTCATCTCTTTCCTCACGCGGCACTCGATCTAATTCACACATTACAGAAAACGGTGCGTGTGATACGTGTGTCGTACGTGTGTAACATGTAATGCTATATATCATATATATATATATATATATA